CACATGCCAAAGGCGACGTCGAGCGCATCGGGCACCTCGTCGAGCGAGCCGTGGCCATTGCGTCGTGGCATCTCGGTCCGACGCATGTCTTCCTCGTCGACATCTACATGACCGCGGTCGACGTGTGGTGCGACCGCGGGGAGCACTACAAGGCGCTGGCCATGTGCGACGCCTGCCTTGGCGTTCTCAAGGAGACGTTTGGTCGCAAAAGCGCGCCATTTGTCGAGGTGCGACGCACGCAGGCGTGGCTCGTCGATCAAGTCGGAGCACCCGACGAAGCTCTGAGTCTCTACGAAGAGTGCTTGCGCCTGTACGAGACGCCGGCGCTGAGCTCCTTGGTGACGAGCCGCGCCGACTGCTGCCTCGCGACGGCGCAGTTGCTCTTGTCGACGCGGGCGCTGCAACCGGCGTACACGACCGCGCTCCAGGCGCACGCGCTGTGCGTGGAAGCATCGACCAACGTCGTCGCGTCGCTTCGGCTCCTCGGCGAGTGCGCGTCGGCTGTCGACGACACGTACCAGGCGATCGAGTATTTGACAGCCGCATGGGCGTGGGTCAAGGACCACGCGACCGCGGAGGACGACACAGTGGAAGCGATGCAAGACATAACGCGACGCCTCGTTGGTTTGCACCGAAGAGTGCTCTCGCCCGACGATACGCAGGTACGACGATTCGCAGAGAGCAAGTTACGACAATCGTATGTAGCTCGTTGACGACGTTCGACGGCGAGCCATCGAGGTCCCGGACGATGAGTTGGCGTTTGTGGCCGGCCAGCTTTTTGTCCATGAACCTGGAGAATACTTCCATCGTGTGCTCCAAGCGGTGGCAGATCCAACTGATTTGGCGCAAAGCGCCGATTTCGCGTCGATTGCAGCGCCAACACAGCTCATTGCGATGCTCGCCTTGGAAGAAACTCGATAATTTGAGACAATAGAGACAATATACCATGTATTGCACATTATGAATTACTTGCACGGGGCCGTCGTAGGGCGCATCGACGGGGTTGTAGTGGTTTTGCACGGAGTCACAGAGGGCGACCACGTGTTCGGGATTGTGGACGTTGAGGCCGGCTTGAAACTTGTGGGGCAGGGGGTGGTGGTAGTTTTGCACGGCGTCGGCGAAGGTGTCTTTGTCAGGGACAAGGTCGTCGGGCACGGCGTCGTCGACAATGGCGTCGTGGTTGAAGGCGATTTCGAGGTAGTGCTAGGGCACGGCGTTGTCGCCGCCTTGGTGGTCGAGGTAGGCGTCGTCGTCGTCGGCGCCTTGGTGGTGGTGCACGGTGTCGTCGTCGTCGGCGCCTTGGTGGTCGATGTGGGCGTCGTCGTCGTCGGCGCCTTGGTGGTCGATGTGGGCGTCGTCGTCGTCGGCGCCTTGGTGGTTCGATGTGGGCGTCGTCGTCGTCGGCGCCTT